AATGGACATGTTGGTAGAGAGGTAAATGATTAAAGAATATTAACCAAAATATTTTTGTGAGTAAGATTTTAGATCTTAAGATTTTGTCTGTGCATGAGGATGCTAATATTATGTGGGAAAAAGTGGCTAGTGATATTAAGAATATTGCAAAAGATGTGCTTGGAGTATCTAAGGGAAAAGCTCCTAATAGTAAAAATAGTTGGTGGTGGAATCCTAATGTGCAAGAAAAGATTAAAAATAAGAAGCTTTGTTATAAAAATTGGTTTAATTTTAAAAATTCTGATAATTGGGAATTATATAAAGTGGCTCGTAAGGATTCTAAGAAAGCAATATGCGATGCAAAGGCATTAGCTTTTAGTGATTTATATAATAGATTAGATACTAAAGAGGGAGAAAGATATATGTATAAGTTAGCCAAACAAAGAGATAGGAGTAGTAAGGATTTAGTTCAAGTGAAGTGTATTAAGGATGAAGATCAAAAAATACTTTTCTTAGAAGATGATATTCAACAAAGGTGGATGAGATATTTTGCTAAACTTTTTAATGAAGTGTGTGATAATAAGATTGACTATAGTGACCTTAGCACCCTAAATGAAAGTAAAGATTTCTGTTTTTATCGGCGTATTAGTAAAATTGAAGTTAGAGAGGCTTTAAATAGAATGAAGGGTGGAAAAGCTGTTGGACCTGATGATATTCCAATAGAGGTGTGGAAATGCTTAGGAGATGAAGGAATTTCATGGCTTACTAAACTTTTTAATACTATTTTGAAGACTAAGAAGATGCCAGATGAGTGGAGAATGAGTGTGTTAATTCCTATTTTTAAGAATAAAGGTGATGTTCAAGATTGTGCGAATTATAGAGGTATTAAGTTAATGTGTCATACTTTAAAACTATGGGAGCGAGTTATGGAGCATAGGTTGCGGCGTGATACTAATGTTTCTCAAAATCAATTTGGATTCATGCCGGGTAGGTCGACTATGGAAGCCATACATTTATTCAGAGGTTTGATGGAAAAATATAGAGGAAATAAGGAGGATCTACATATGATATTTATTGATTTAGAAAAAGCATATGATAAAGTTCCAAGAGAAGTGCTATGGAGAGTTCTTGAAAAGAAAGGAGTCAATAATGCTTATATTCAAATCATTAAAGATATGTATGCAGGAGCTATTACTTGTGTTCAAACACAAGGTGGTTTGACCAAGTATTTTTCCTATTTCAGTTGGGTTACATGACGGATCAGCCTTAAGCCCATATCTTTTAGCTTTAGTCATGGATGTTCTCACTAGACATTTGCAAGAGGATGTACCTTGGTATATGCATTTTGCTGATGATATTCTTCTTGTTGATAAGACTAGAGAGGGAGTTGAAAGTAAACCTGAATTATGGAGGTCAACATTAGAGACTAAAGGTTTTCGCTTGAGTAGATCTAAAACAGAATATATGGAGTGTAATTTTAGTAGTAATAGACCTAGTGAGGGAATTGTGACTTTGGGCGATCAAGTCATTAATAAAAGTACATGTTTTAGATATCTTGGATCTATTGTTCAGAGTGATGGTGAAATTGATGGAGATATTATCAGCAGAATTCATGTTGGATGGTTGAAGTGGAGGAATGCATCGGGCTTGTTGTGTGATAGAAAAGTACCCCTCAAACTTAAGGGAAAATTCTATAAGATGGTAGTGAGGCCTGCAATGCTTTATGGTGTTGAATGTTGACCATTAAAAGAGAAGAATAATATTATGTTAAGTGTGGCAGAGATGAGGATGCTCAATTTGATGAGTGGCTTTACCCTTAGAGATAGGATACGAAATGAGCATATACGTGAAAAGGTTGGAGTAGCTCCAGTAGATGATAAGATTAGAGAGAGTTGCCTTAGATGGTTTGGTCATATAAAACGGCGGCCTTCCAATGACCCGATTAGGAGAGTAGAGGTATTAGATTTGACTTATTTTAAGAAAGGTAGAGGCAGACCTAAAAAGACTTTGTTAGGAAACATTAGGAACGACCTTTCTTTATTAGATTTAAACGAGAATTTGACGTTTAATAGGACACAATGGAGAAAAAGGATTCATGTAGCCGACCCCACGTAGTGGGATAAAGGCTTGATGATGTTGTTGTTGTTGGAGTTGGGAAGTACCGATGTCATCCTGGGGATGAAATGACTGCAGACCTTGGGGGTGACCAGGTCAACTGGGGTGCTCTTTGGATGGAACGGATGGTGGGAGGAAAGAGGATGGTGATCCAGGGCGATGCAGGGCTTTTTAGGGCCAGAGTATCTCTCAAATCCATGATCTGAACCATACAGGAGGTGGATATTTGATGGTGTTGCAACGCTTAAAGAGGGTCAGTGGCGGGGAAGAAGGAGACATTCCCATGGCAGTACAATCACTCATACAAAAGTTCAGTGAGGTTCTCCAGCTACCTCAAGGCTTACCACCACCCAGAGAGCAGGAGCCTGCAATCATTGTGAAGGAGGGGGTGTCATTGATTAGTGTGCGGCCCTAGTGCTGCCTCTAAATTCAGAAGGACGAGATTGAAAAGCTGATTAAGGAGATGTTGGAAGCTAGGATCATCAGACCAAGTGTGAGTCTTTTCTCAAGTTCAATTTTATTGGTCAAGTAGAAGGATGAGAGCTCGAACATCATTTCATCGTCAGGATAGATCAAAGGAGCTTAAAATACATGTTGGAGCAAAGGATGGTGATGGAGGAACATCAGAGGTTGCTGTCTAAACTATTGGGATACGATTTCGAGATCCAGTGCCGACCAGGGTTAGAGAATAAGGCAGTTGATGCCTTATCCAAGTGTGCAGGAGAGCTCCTGGAGATAACCATTTCAGTACCCCTCATGGTGGATTGTGGAGGAATCCAGGAAGAAAGTGTGCATGATGAAGAGTTGAAGAAGACCCGGATGGATCTATTGAAGGATAGGAGCAGCCACCCAGGCTATGCCCTCGAGGGGGAGAGACTGTTATACCTTGGACGGTTTCTAATGCCACGAAATTCCATCCATATTCCCCATTTATTGCAATAGTTTCATGGGAGTGCCATTGGAGGCCATTTCGAAGTAAAAAAGACATACATGAGAATTGCTTTTGAATTGTACTGAAAAGGAATGCATAAAGATGTGCAAGAGATGGTGGCGAGTTGTGAAGTGTGTTAGAGAAACAAGTATATAGCTATGGCTCCGAGGGAATTACTACAACCCTTGTCACTTCCAAACAGAGTATGGGAGGAAGTGACCATGGATTTCTTTGATGGCCTCCCACGATCAGAGGGGCTTACTGTTATTATGGTGGTGGTTGATAGGGTTAGTAAGTATGCACATTTCACTCCCCTACGACACCCCTACACCGTAGTGAAAGTGGCGACAGCTTTTATCAGGGAGGTGGTTAGACTCCATGGGATTTCAGAGTCGATAGTTTCTGATCAAGACAGTTTTCCTGAGCTATTTTTGGAAGGAGTTGTTCAAGTTACAAGGAATTATTCTCAAGAGAAGCACCGCCTACCATCCCCAAATGGACGGGCAAACGGAGGTAGTCAACCATAGTTTGGAGACTTAAGGGTTTTGCTTTTGAAACACCAAGCATATAGGCCAAATGGTTGGCATGGCCGAGTATAGGCCAAAATACCATGTACCATTTAGCTTCCCAGATGACCCCTTTTAAGGTGCTCTATGGAAGAGATCCACCACACTTAGTGTACTTTTGAAGGGGGAGCACACCTGTATTTTCAGTGGACCAGCACTTGGAGGAAAGGGATAGGGTGTTGGAGGAGTTGAAGAAACATTTAATGAGGGCATAACATATCATGAAGAGGTAGGCAAATGCACATAGAAGAGACATCCAGTTTGATGTGGGTGAGAAGGTTTTCCTAAAACTGCGGCCCTACAGACAAAAGACATTGGCCAACAGGAGAAATGAGAAGTTATCCCCAAGGTATTTTGGCCCTATGAGATAGTGGACAAAATTGGAGCAGTGACATACCGAAGACATTATATTTACGGCCAACATACATTGACCACTATCTCATAGGGCCAAAATACCACTATCTCAAGGTATTTTGGCCAAGTTATATTATATTTATTTTAAAATAAACTTAATAATTTTGTTTTATTTTAATTATTGTTTATTAAAATATTATCTAATATCAAAATTTTTACTTAAAATTTAATATGATTAATACATAAAAATGATGATTCTCCACATGATTGCACTTACGTTTGACATTTTCATCTCAATCTAACATTTTGGATTTCTTATTCTCTCATATTTTGGTGGCAGCTTAATGAATCTCTTAGCAAAGTGTTCTAGATGGGAAGACATTCATCCTCACGTTTTGTCCTCTCTAGAATTATAAGTTATTACTGCATTAGAGCTTTAATAAGTAATTTATCATATTAAAATTTTGTATTAAAAAATTTCGCATGGGCTCTTGTCCTTATGCCCCCATTATAGCTCCACCCTTGTCTGCTTTCTACAGTTCTCAGTTTATATTCATGTTAATTTCTTGTAAATTATTCATGCTTTCCACGATAAATTAAAGGATTAATGGTAAAGCTTAAATTGTTGAGAGAATCATATTAACAAAATTATTGGAGTAAAGGTGTCTTGTGTTTGTGAGGTTTGCAAGTTTTTTCTTAATTCCTATTCAGTTATGGCTACTATGGAGGAATCAAAAGGATGTCCTTGAAGTCTGATTCTTTGCAAAATTTTGTTCGAGAGGGTCTCAGTGTTTGTTTAAAGCCCGGGATGTCTCAAATTTCTATTTTTGATTTGGCCAAAGCTCTGTTGGAATGCAAGTTAATGATGTTTCTGATTCAAACTAGGTTATGTTCCAGACAATGTAAATGTAGGAGATTGGTTCCTTGCAACAAAAGTTTGACTGTTAATGTAGAAAGATTTATCTTGTAATTGATGTTTGATTATCTAGTAATTTATAGTCTCAACGTTTTTCTATTCTTGTTGATCTTCTTTAGCTTAATTTTTTATTTTGTAGGTGGATTTTGTAATGGAAATTTTATCACGGCTTGTAAGCAAACAGGTAGCTAGTTGATTCTAGGGGGTGATTCATTACCACTTACGTTTCGTTTTAATTTAGAATCAGCTTAAAATTTAATTGCTTTCTTTCCTGCTTTTATCAGATATGGAAATATCCGAAGTTGTGGGTTGGATTCTTGAAGTGCGCTCTCCAAACAAAACCTCAATCATTCAATGTGTTGTTGCAGGTTTGTTCTGCTTTCTCCGTATGTACAAATAGGACTGATAAGTACGTCCAAATCTTAAAATCATGGCATACGTTTTGTAGTTGAAATCAATTTTTTTGACCTGACAATGTATTGCTCGAAGTAATCAAATTCAACTAAAAGTTGATTTGATATGTATTTGTATATTAAAATAGATGTTCACATACAAGTAACACATATACTTTCTTTGTTTATAGATATATAATCTACAACGTTAAATATTGTATATTGCGTAAATGTGCATGTAATTATGGTCTGTATATAATAAATCAGAATAGCCCTATATGTGTGTTGACTAAATTAAAAAAAAAAAGAGAGATACATCTCTTCTTGACAAACCTCCTCTGATGCCTCCCTTGATCTGGCCCCACTTCACACGGTTTCATGATCAAACGAAGCATCTCTTTGTGATCATAACTTTCCTTCGACAATCTAGTTCATAAATACACGCAGAAGAAATTGAAAACTTGCACTCATTTTAGTTTTAAAATCTCATTCCATATATCCAACTGGTGACCTCCCTGCAGCTTTCGCCTCTAATCGCGCCAACACACGCGAGTAATCGTGTGACCCTTGCTCTCATGTCTGGCCACTCCATCTATAGTGCAAGTACCCGACCAAGCCTAGCTCCCTTCTGATTGTAAGCCTGCTTGTCGTCCACACCAGCCTCTTGTTTGCGAACCCGCATCCAAGCGTCCGTGCTAAATCAGTCTCCCATAAGGACTTTGCTTACCATCCCTCTCCAAATCTGATTCAATCCACGATTAACACCTCACGTGCGAATGCTCTCATTCCACGTGCAAGCCTTGCTCTTGATCTCGCCGAACATTGTCGGATTGATCCCAGTCATACGATTTATATTCTGCTCAATCATAACTTCCTTGGCTTCATCGTGCACAATTTATACTTCAATTCAAGGCAATAACACGCCTCTGGCTTCATGTATCCTTAACTCCAATGCTCTATCTTCGATTAAATAATTAAATATATAAAATAATATTTATAAACGGCAGTTTGGCATAGTATGCAAATCGAAGACCCTCACCATCAATCTTTGATCTGGGCAAATGGTTTTAATTTTTGAAGACCCGCGCCGTGATTTTAATCTAGATTGATAGTTTTAATTTTTAAAGACCTACACCATTGATTTTTAATTTAGATAGATGAGTTTACAAAATAAAAAAATCCTGTGCCGTCGATCTTAGATCCGGGCAGACTTAAACAATGACAAGTGTCGTCCCTACCTCCTCGCGAGTGTAGGAGATGCTGGGAGGCTGCCGAAATCATTCCAGAAAATCATCAGAGTATTAATTGATTAATTAAATTAATTAATGTGAGATTATTATTTTGGATTAATTAATTAATTCAATTAAATAATTAATTACAAAATTAATTCATTGATATGAAGATTTAGTTAAAGTTAATTAATTAAAATTAGCTAATTGCAACTAACTAATTTAAATGATTAATTAATTAATTTAAATTAAATAATCAATTGAAACTAGTTTATTGAAAAAATAGTTGATCAATAAGAGACTATTTTGATTAATAAGAGACTATTTTAAATTAAATAATCAATTGAGACTAGTTTATTGAAAAAAATAGATGACCAATAAGAAATTTTAGAGCGATTTCTTTAAAATCAAATTAATTAGTTGGTTAATTTAATTAACTATTTGGAATTTTAAACATAAAATCAAAATCTAATTAATTTGTTAAAATAAAAAATAAAAATTAATTTAATCAATTAGTTTAAAACTATTAAAATTCATTTTAAATAATTAAATATAATTAATCTATTAATTTTAAATTAAATCTGTGATCTAATTTAATATTAATTAATCCATTTTAATGTACTTTTTTATCAATTGATTGATTGCTTAATCAGTCAATTAAATTTTAAATTAATAATTAGTTTAAAACTATTAAAATTCCTTTTAAATAATTAAATATAATTAATCAATTAATTTTAAATTACATCTGTGATCTAATTTAATATTAATTAATCCATTTTAATATACTTTTTTATCAATTGATTGATTGCTTAATCAGTCAATTAAATTTTAAATTAATAAAAAATTGATTAATTGATTAAATTAGAGCATGATTTAAAAATGGTGAGAGGCACACTTTAATAAGTGAGGATTTTTGTTTAAATAAAATATGAGAGAGAGAGAGAGAGAGAGAGAGAGAGAGAGAGAGAGAGAGCAATTTCTATTAGTCAACATGTGCAACTCAACATTGTACTCTCAAACATTACTCTCTAAAGTCACAAACAACAGCTCTCTAAACTCCCCAACTCAACATTAACACTCAACAACTCTCCAATGCTCTTTTAAACTCTCCAACTCTCTTGTGCAAGAGAGTAAACTCCAAAATAGTACGAACTCCTATAGCATGCAAATGAAATTCATTAGCATCAAAATTAAATTAATATCAAAATAAATGTTAAAGCATGAAAAAGAACAAGTACTATGCCAAGCTACATACATAAAGTAGAATAAGCTATTTGTAAAGTAACTACTAGTACAATTTATAATACTAAAAATTAAAAGAGCAAAACACTATAGCAAGATACACTAGTGTCACATAATAACTGTGGGCCAGTAACTGCCGAGTTAGTAATGCCTAAAAATTGAAATTTAGTGTCATGTTAACAAACAATTGATGTCCACTCAAACAAAAATTAGCGGGCATTTTAATCTAAATGTTTAGGTTGTAAGATTCACTTTTACACAACCTTCAAAAAAAAATTGTAAGACCTACCAAAATAATTAAACCCTCAAACACTTTTGTTGTAGAGGTAGGTTGTAAGACCTGCTACCGGACAACTCTTAAATAGAGTTGTATGTTCCACTTCAAATTAATTCTACATGCAACTTCTAAGGTAGTTGTAAGACCTGTCAACTTAAATAAATGGACAGCTTAGCTGATAGGGCTAGGTTATAAGATTCGCTACCGAACAACTTTTAAGTGAAGTAGTAAGATCCACTTTTTTAGGGAAATTGCTAAATAAATTTCAGTGACTCTAAAACCTAAACAATCAAATTCAAATTAACATGCAGCTTAGCCTATAGGACTAGGTTTTAAGATCGACGAGTGGGCTACTTCAAATAGAAGCTGTAAGTTCCACTTTTCGAGTTACTTTCAATGAAAGTCATAAGTCTCGACCAAAATTCAAACACCCGGGCTACTTCTATGAAGAAGTTATAAGACTCGCTTCAATTCAAACTTCTCGATAATTTTTAAACGAAGTTATAAATCCTAAATCAAATTAATTTTTTTGTTATTTTGATAGATGTAAACCCCAACACCCAATAAAATTAAAACTCATGTCTAACCACCTTAGTCAACTCGGGATCCTTGAGTGGAGGCGACTCATGGCTGCTAATCAGATTCCCTGGACACTATGATCAATAATTGTTAGTATTAATAGACTGAAACCTATGATATAACTTTTAAATGAAGTTATAAATCCCCAATCAAATTAATTTCTTGGTATTCTGATAGATGTAAACACAAAACCCCAATAAAATTAAAACTCACATCTAACCATCTCAGTCTACTCGGGATCCCTAAGAGGAGGCAACCCATGGCTACTAATCAGATTCCCTGGACACTACTGTCAATGATTGTTAGTGTTGATATACTGAAACCTATGGTATACCAGGGACGACGGAACCATGGGTTATTGATCGGGTTTATCTCCATTTTTCCCTCACAATTGAGATAATAATATTTGAATTTATTCACCCTTAATCGAGAATTCTCTCTTACGTGTTAAGAAGAATAATTAACTATGAGTGCTTGGCTAATGGGACATAAGAACCTTGATCTAATTAAACCTTGACCCTACCCTCAAGAGAAATCTGGTTAGTTACAATCTGATTTTAGGACATTGGAATCCTACAGCTAAAAGTGGGATTCATGCCAACGCACAGTTTGTCTTGAGCCCAACAGATTTCTGGCGACTCTGCTGTGGATTATTTCTCTCCATCTTTGGATGAAATGAGAACTTATATTTAGTCTCAAATAACCAAACATATAAAAGAAATATAGATGTTTATTCATCGCAAGTTTGTGTTTTTTTCTCCGACAAAATTCAGGTTGACTCTAATCCCTGCAAGTTCTGTTAACAGGTTGCTGAATATGACGCCTGTGAAGTTATTTATTATTGTAAAATTGGGCAAGGGAGCTAAAGTCCAATTCCCTTAAGCCATTCTGAACACAGACTATGCCAAAGCGACCATCCAACATGAAATTGTTTTTGAAGTTATACAGTTTCAGTAATTCCTATCTGGGAATAATGTTGACCCCAAGCTAAAATCTGTTTTTGTCAGCTTAACTAACCTGAACATAATCTAGGAGGAAGTCCTTGAAGAGTATAATGCTGAAATTCCTACTGAAATCCCTGAAGAGTACGTTACTGAAATTCTTCCTACAAGCACTTTTCCAGGAAATCTAGAGAGAGCTAATGCTCGCTTGCGGACTAATGGTTGAATTCCCTATACAATTTAAGAATCATCATTGTAGTTAGAGGCGAATGTACCCACCAACATTAGTTTTGAACCATTCAAGAGTGTGAAGAGAAACGATGACAAAGGCGAAGTAAAGAAATCTTTTTGGAGAGACTTCTCATCAATAGCCACATCAGGTAATGAAGTAAGAATCTATTTATTCTGAGATATAATGATATATAAAATAATGAAGGCTATTAAAGATAAAAAGTTGCAACAAAGACTGAGGAAATCTGTCGGTGAAGTTATTTTCTCAAGCATGACTCATTTTTGAAAATGAATGTCGTCATCACCAGGAGTTGAGAAAATTCTTTCCTAATATGGGTTAACCCCATATTATGGAAGAAAATAGTAGGGAGAGTCTTCTGATAGTCTACATGCAAAAGATTATAATAGAAAATATGATAAAAGAAGGCTTCGATAATGGTATCATGAATTTGGTCATTCAAAAGTATATTTTGATGT